AACCATTAGTGTATCATTTTTTTCCATGCCTTACGTCAAATATCACAGATACATAAATTGATTTTTTTAATACTACTCCGTAGGACTCGAAAAAAACTTTCGAAAAACTTGTACAAATTACGGTATTATTTTTAATTGAACTGCTGTTAGCTGTTACGTATAATTTTGTTTCCGTGCCTCACGTCAAATGTCACGGATACAAAGATCGATTTTTTAATACTCCGTAGAAATCGAAGGGGAAACTTTTGAAAAACTTGTAGAAATTACGGCATCTCCAATCGCAACGCCGATCTTGAGAACGTCGCTGCGCGGCCTCGGAGGTCGCGCCATATATAGAGTTCCAGTTCTAATCGTCACGTCTCAAGAACGTATGCGTTCGCAGCCGATATTATATTAAGCCGTGCCTTTTTCTTTTCTTTTATTTTTTTTTTGCACTTGACGTTCGTCAATTACGCTTTTTCGCGTACACGTGAGCTGTCCGACAAGGCACGTTTACACGGGACAACTGAAAAAGTTCAAACACAATATCACAAATCGGGATGACCGAAAGCTTAGAACCCAATGATGTGGCGAGTTGCACGCGTTCACCTTCTACAAGATAATGGTAATTGGTTTACGAGCGTCCCGCGATAACGCCCACTATTGGTTGATAATAATGAGCATTGTATTACGGGAGCATTTATATGAAGCTAATTAAAGAGGCAAGTCGACCGGCGAGGGCTTTCAATCAAAGCACGACAAGTTGCAGCTCGATTTAATCCGTAACTGGAACGTATGATAATGCTGACATTTTCCTAATTTTTAAATAGTATAATTTTTTTTTAAATAGTATAATTATTTTAAATAATTTCACATTTCACAATCTTTTTGTTCACATATAGTTTGTTTTATTCGTGTAAGCTAATTATAATTATTTACCATATTTGTGTTAAGTATTAATTAAAGTATCACAATTTTTATAAGTCTGTTTTCTATAGCTGAACTTTTGAAACTTAAAGTTAAATAGGTATATACTTGATATTTGATGAGAAAGCGAGAAAGAAATTTCTAGTGTAAGAATTTAATGTAAGAACAAAAATAGACCTCATATACAGTTGAAGATTTTAATCTTCTAAAATTAACATGCAACACACAAAAAACTTTAGTAGGTCACAAAAACCCATATGTCCCTTGTTACGGATTAAAATTTAAAAATGTCAGGAATGTTTAAATTGAAAAAAAAAAACAAAAAAACAAAAAAAAACAAAGAACGTCAGTATAACGCAAAAATTACATATTGCACAAATCACATATTGATCAATTAATCTTTAAAGGACAAGCATTTATTTTCTAAATCTTACAGCTTTTCTTTGGGTAAGATTTATTATAATTTATTATACTCCTTGCTTCAAAATATGACACTATTTTAGCGCCACTATAGTGGCACTAAAGGGATTTTCCATCCTGTAAAAGGTTATAGCAATTTACAGAGTTATTCAATTAAAGCTTCTTCCATTGATCGGAGTGATCCAAAATCAGAATCTTCTACGAAATAAAGTTATAAAATCATAATTACGTAATTTTAAGAAGATGAAAAATAATTTAATTGCTGCATCGCGTTATGATTGAGCGACTTGACCCTTATCTGTTTTTTAATACAATGATAAGTAAAAGGATGAACAGCAAACGATAAAAAAATAAAAATAAGAGATGGTAATAGAAGTACATAACGAGGTTATAATTACTCAAAAAGATGAGTGATCTCGCGGAGAACATGACAAAGCTTCTTTCCGACATTTCATTAGTCATAAATAAAACGCAGAGAGCTAATATTAAACGGAAATAAATATTAACAATCAATATATACTAATTGCATATTGATGTATTGATTATTTGCAACACGGTAGTATTAATTTCTTCGTTGTTATCCTGGTATAATTCGGCCACAATCCATTGCTTGGTCATTATATCGATTTCGTATAAATTCAGCACAATCGCTCCGATTCCCAATTCTTATTACGCAATACACGTAAATCAAGAATCGAAGCGGAGCTTGAGCTTGCGATTGAGTTGCCTAATTGCCTGAAAGAAATTGCGCGAGCTGATCAAACACCGAAAAGGGATACTGAGAACGTATTTGTGCGGATGTGTCCTCGCTCTATTGAGAGCCGGCACGGCATTTTCAGGAGCGTAACTAACTTTCAGAACCGTGTCCTTAAATCGCAATAAATATCTATACGAGGTGTGTTTTTATTGAGTTTCTCTAAAGTTAAAATGCTCAATTGAAAAGCAACAAGAATAGAAAATAAATTGAAATCTATCAGAAACCGTGTATTATGATGTATCTACCTACAGTCAATACCGTTTCTAATATGTTGAAATCTGTTATTTAAAGGTTATCTATTCTTTTTTGTTTTGTTAAATTTATTAGAGGCTTTTTCTACAATGAGCCATCAGTAATAAATCAGAAGTAAGAAGCTAGAAATTGACCAATCACAGTCAAATATGAGAAGAGTACTCGACTATGACTTGACAATTTCTAGTTTCTGATTTATCACTAATGGCTTCCGGTAAAGCAAGACAATTTTTGGATTGTCAGAAATTTTAACATACAAAATATATCATTAAAAAATATGTTTCTATTGCACCAATAATGTACATTTTGTATGTTTAATTGAATACACTATGATCTCAATTTTTTATATTATTTCAACATTTTCAAATTATCTCGCTTGTAGAAAATTTCTAATGCACAAAATGACATAAGCGGCTCTTTAAATTTCTTGGAATAAAATCTCCAAAAGAGTTAAACTTACTGCCATTGAAAAAGAGTAAAAATATTTACTCTCTTAAATAAGATGTAGCAGATTTTCACTCTTTTTGAAGTAAGATTTCAGACTTTTGTAGTGAGATTCGCTCAAAAAAAGGAATGCAAGGATTTCTTTTGGAGTGAATCTCATTTCAAAAGAATGTAAATATTTTCAAAAAACTCTTTTTCAAAAGTGACAGTATTTTCACTCTTTTGGAGAGATTTCACACTTCAAGAAATTTAGAGATTCCATAAGCATAGCATAAAGTCGTTCGATCAATGAGCATCCAGCATAAAGGTATCATATTTATTAATTCACATGAGATGCTCATTAATCCAACGGCTGTAAGGCAGGAACACAGAGTTTTGCATAACTTATATTGCGTAATGCATAAAAATGAATCAATCGAAGCCTTTTATTTCCTTCCTTTACATGAAATAGAAGATTGACTGGTTGATTTATATACGTTATACAAAGAGATCTTTTCGACTTTTATCTTATATTTATGCAAATTATGTCACTTTCCGTGCGATGAGTTTTAAGCCTAATACATAATAAAAAGCACAGTATACACGATTTCTGATTCTGATTAAAATATACCTATATCTGTTATTTTCTGTTTCTATTTCCTATGCTTTAACTTAAATTCAATTGTGCATTAACCTTAACAAAATCAGAAAAAAAATAGATGACCTCTAACCTTCCGTCGTAACTTGTGAATTTCGGAAAGGACGCACGTTAAAATAAGGGGAGATAAATATAGCGTGTGAGATATTTGCGCATTATTTTAAAATAAATTCGTTCCTATCGCATTACAATATCAGTACTCTCTTTCCCGGAATTCTATTTTAGAAGAATGAAAAGAATATGCTAGCAACAGAATCCAATTTATTAAATAGATCGATGTAAATAAATAATTATTAACATCGATGACACAAAAGGAAATAGATCGTTTTTCAGAGAGAAAATTGTAATTCAATATCACTATCAGAATTTCACAAATCAAACGCCTAATGGTTTCATCAGAATTCATATATATAGATCGCGTTCTTTCACATTTAAAAATGAGAAGAGAAGAAGAAATTGGAGCAGCGAATGATCGAGTATAATCAATGCATTGTTTTCTCATGACGAATTTTATTCCGAAACAACGTAAATGCCTTTCTAGTGAGATCAGCCAATCGTGTAACTTTCGTCTCTAAAGCGGAGAAACGTGAAAAGTGAAAATTTTTCATATGTATATATATATATCTACATACATACATTCATAAAAATTTTCATTCTTTTATAGTTCCACGTTAGGGAAAGAGTTACGTAATTGACTCCTAAGCTGGCAACCATGTAACTCTAAAATGAAAACACGAAAAATGAAAAATTTTCCTATTATCTTCATGATAACAATTTTCTCTTTTAATGTTTCCATCTTCATATCGTTATGCTGGTGCAAATGGTGAAAGGTAATATCTCAGACCTTCAATACCACAATTTTAAAGTTCATCCTGTATGCTTGTTGTATTTGTCGTTATCTTGCATAACGCAGAACGCATAATGCGTAAGAGGCTTTCTACAATACGCCATTAGTAATAAATCAGAAGTCTGATTTGTTAGAAATTGATCAATCATAGTCGAGTATTCTTCTTATATTCAATTGTGATTGGTCAATTTCTAGCTTCTGACTTTTGATTGATTACTAACGGGTTTTCTACAATAAGCGCTATTATCTAAGCGTTAAACTGTAATTATCTTTAAGTGTTAAACGGTAAGAAATTGACCAATCATAGTCGATTATTCTTTTCACATTTGATTATGATTGGTCAATTTCTTACGACTTAAGATTTGAAGCTTTAATGTCTTATTGTAGAAAGCCTATAATGGCATATTACAAAAATCCTCTCAGAAAACGAACCAATCAAAGTCCTTCATTTCTTTTCTTTTCCATGAAATAAAAGACTTTTACTGGTTGATTGTCTCACGCATTATACACAATGCAAAGCGTCTGTGTTCTCTTAAAGGCTTTTTACAATAAGTCATTACCCAAGTTTTGAAGCTCGAGTCATAAGAAATTGATCGTAATCGTAATCGAACGTGAGAAGAATAACCGACTATGCTTGATCAATTTCTTATGGCTTATTGTAGAAAGCCTGTTCAAAGAATCAAAGAAAGGAGGAAGGATCGACGTTTCCTCGACGTGGTCGCCGCTGCGATGCTCACCTGTTTGCTGTCGGCGCCGCTGTTCAGCGGTGAGCTTTGGCTGATCGAATCGGCGGCGCCAGCGGCAAAATTAGCCGGAGCAATCTCGATGTTCGAACTTTGCTCTGCGGCGATGACGGCGACGGCGGCAACGGCGACGTTATTATTGTCGTCGTTATTATTGTTGCTGTTGCTGCTACCGGACGTCGATACGGCGTTGACGGTCTCTATATCGATAACTACATCGGCAGCAGCTGCGGCAGCGACGGCGGCGTCGGCGGCACGGTCGCTTTCAGTGATTTTGTCAGGAGCTACCGGTTCCTGACGATGTTCCGGCCCTGGGGCCATCTTGATCGAGATTGACAGCGCGGTGTCCGCGGTGCTCATGGCTCCCTCGTCATCTCTCTCCTCTTTTCTCTTTATCCTTCAAGGGTCACGAAACCGCGAAAGGACTGTTCGCGTACCGATCAACGATCCGTACCGCATTGAAGACGCTGCGATCGGAAATACAACGGCCGAAGAAGACGCTGTATTCTCGCGGCTAGACGAGCGCGAAGCACGCTTAGACGACGACGTCGAGGTCGAATCCAAGGATTGCTTTCACCAATGCTTACGCTAAGCTTTCTAATAATTTAATTTAAAAATTATTTATTCAGCTCTCCTTCTCTTTGTACCTTCTTGGATCATAAGAGAGACTACCGCGACTTAGAAAAGGAGCTAATCCAAGTGTTGACCGAAATAAGGACAAGTCAATATTTAGATTCAGTTGGAAAGAGTCATAATCCTCTAAGAAATATTCAGGCTAGAAAAAGGCGAGAGAAAGAGAGAAAGAGAGAGAAAGAGAAAGAGAGAGAGAGAGAGAGAGAGAGAGGTCCTTGATCGGGAAACAATCGAGAT